ACACACAGACGCACACGCACGCACGCACGCACACACGCACGCACGCACGCAGGCAAGCACGCACGCACGCACGCACGCACGAGCTCACGCACGCACGCACGCACGTACGCACGCTCGGACGCACGCACGCACGCACGCACGCACAGAACTTGTTAATTACTGTAGTAATTGTGGGAAAAAATAAACAACTACTATTATTATTATTATTATTATTACAGGAGATTGCATCGGTGCAAACGTGCGACTCCCAAAGTGTAGCGATGCAATCGCGCGTTTGTATCGTTGCAATCACGAGCTTGCATCGCGTTTTTAAAGATAGACGATTAGCGACTGCATCGCGTTTGTATCGCGTTTGCATCTCTGATAAAAGTCGGCGTGTGTAACCGCTCTTACATATTCAATATTTCCTTTCCAGTGCTACATAATCCTTTGGTATGTACCAGCGGACTTCCAATTAACCATATTAGGGCTGGTATTATTTTACATCTACCACCACAACCAACGACTCGGAAAGGTGGTCATTATTGGTGTCAGTGTATTAGCAATAGTGCTACCAGGTCTGGTGACCTATTTGTATGAATTACCGGCGACTATTATTTATGACATTGGGTGAGTACGTGAGTTGGGGGAGGCAGAGATTACCTCCACTTGTGACATTCCTTACTTTTGCATTTCGGTAACTTTCGAAATATTGCCACTGGTAACGCCAGATACGAGTAGTTTGTGTCAGAGCTCGCATCTCCTTTTCCTTTCCTATCACAATCCATGCTACACCAAAGCCGCATAAACCGCCGGTGACTTTAAATATAGTGTGTGTGACGGTACAACATTCGAACATGAAAACATTTATTTTTATATACAAATTTTTAGATGATACCTTAGACTTACAAATAAATGGACGACGGGTCTAATACAAAAACCAGGAAAAATATGTCCCAAGTCAACCTATTTAAACGTAGTGACATGTAAAGGAATATGAAAAAGCTAAAACGTTGAATTTAAATTGTAATGTCATCGCAGTACTGTCTAATTTTGCTTGCTTCGCTGTTAGTCGAACAAACGAAGACTAAAGCGTGAATGACGCTCTGTATGCGATTTTAACGCCCTATAAGTTCGGACACTTTTTAGCGCGGACCCGACGTCCATATAAATGTAAGTCAATGGATGATACAGATCATTTAAATTTTTTTAATTAACTATCCGCATCTACGCCAGACAATTGAGCTGTGTACGCATTTTCATGGTGGCGTTATTGGTGGTCAGCCGCATGTGAAGAGAGGAAGCAGTATGAGCCCTTCAACGTTCTGAACATAAAGGTTGGTGGTAGCACGGCTTCCCTTCCTTTTACTTTGCGAGCTCACCTATCCCGCAGCGCTCCACGAGCCATCGAAGATTTAATTTTTTTTCTTATTATAGCATCACCAGGCACCTAAACTCCTTTTTTGCTAATAAAAACTCAGTTACTCTGATTTTGCTTACCAATAAAACTGAAACTAAATAAACACATTACCCAAATAATCGATTAAGTGGTCAGGTAACTTAGGGCGTCGACTGTACCTCTCCCTGACATTGAAAGAAAACGTGATGAAATCTGCGTGAAGAAGAGGCTCACAACTGTTAGAAAACGTGTGAAGTCATCAACCCGCATCGGGCTTTGACCTAAACTCTCTTCAGAGACCCTAATTCCACATTACCTTTGGCCTAATTCCAGAACAATGATAAACATCCGCTCCAATGCCGTATTCAATAGCACCTACATCAGAAGCCACCACCGAGCAACCAGCTACCTCCTCGGTATGGGGTTGGGCTACGTGCTCTCGGTCTATAAGCCTTCCAACTATGGAAAAGTTATTTCAAAGGTACAGTCAACAACACATCAAGCTATACACTCATTCAGCATTCAATTGAATTGTAGCTAAGGTTAGATATTAAGGGCCTAACCAAAAAACTCCGTACTATTACAAGTACTCCATGGAATGAGATTTTTTTTAAAGTAAAATAAACATAACTGCCACGGTAGCAGTACCCCTCAGATCTTTGCGATTAAAAGCTCTGAGTGGTACTGTAAATGGTGTGGACAGGCGTGTCGCCTGGTGGTAAGACCAGGCGCACGACTTGTTCGTCCTGCCACTTGGTATCATAATAAAAAAATCTCCTACAGAACACCCTTCTAGAAAAAGCCTCCTGTAGGGCGCTTAGACTAGGACTAGGCTCTTAGCTTAAATCTTTTGTTCAGCTCTTCCTTTAGTCGGGTAGCACACTCAATGTATTAGTGGCTAGCTGCTAAATTTCTTCAGAAAATAAAACAAGTGGTCTTTTTTTTCAGAAAACCAGCATAATAATTTTCGTAAATCTATGCATATTAGCCTTAGGAACTATGGCGCTCGGTGGAGTATTTTACACCAGAGAATACAACGCGTTTGAAGCAGCCGCTTACGCTGCCAGTAACAGGGTTATGTGGGTGGTCGTTATGGCTGTGTTTGTTATTATTTGCGAGTATGGGGAACTGCGTAAGTAATAAGCTTATTAATTACAATGATAACTCATCTCAGAGGTTAACTAGAATTTTTCACATCAAGCATTAGACGAACTTGTAATCTTGTAAGTGAATTTAAAAAAAAACGGTTAGAGTGATTAACTCACGGTGACTTTTAGCAGCTATTTACACTTGCGATTTAAAGGCGACTGCATCGATGCAAACCTGCGACTGCATCACGTTTGCATCGCTGCTTAAAATCGCGGGTTTAAGGCCTTATTCAGAGTGGCCCGGGCGCGTGTGCGTGTAAATCAAATCTACGTAGACACTCGTTGCGTTCACAGGGGCCGCGCGTGCCGGTGCCCGCCTCGAGGCGAGCGCAGGTTTGTCTATTGGCTCGATCCGCCCGTACCTTTCACAGTGATTGGTGTAGTGTCTAGTGTCTGTTTGCGATTTCGACGTGTGGATCTACCCGCTCGTAGCTGCTTCGGCACTGTGAAAGGGAAGACGCCAAGACCCGCGCGCTAGTACTCTGAATGAGCGCAGGAACACGAAGACGCCTTAGACCGTATCGATTTCTAGAAAGACAGGTAAAGGAATCAAATGCTGAAGTTGCATCATTACATGAACAAAGCGGAAGTTACGACCACCTAACGACCTTGTCCGTGATGAACTAGCCCTGGGAGACAGGAATGTATGCAACAGTAAATTATGTAGTACTAAATCGCAAGACCCAAGATTTTCCAAATTAAACAACCTGATAAGAAAGAAATCGAAAACACTTAAGAAACTAAAATCAGCAAAGTTAAATTTACACAAGGACAAGGTGAAGATGGCCGAACAAGTGAAAGATCTAGAGTTAGATCTTCAATCGCGAACTAAAGACCTACTTTCTACGCAGAAACAACTAAAAGAACTTTCAGCTGCAACTAATGAGCTTTTAAAGCTGGGTACTGAGTATAGAGAACTTACTCAAGTCCTTCTTCAGGATGAGCTTAGTGAAACAAATGATCCAATAGAAATAAATCAGACTCCATCCTCACCATCAACAACGCAACCAGCACGTGCATCGTATGCCAGCGTTGCTGCAGGAAAGGGTATCTGCTCCACTACAACTGTTGACGTTCGACACAGTCAACGGTCAACCAAGACTATTAGAACTCCTACCAGGCCATCCAGAAGAACTGTAGTTTTTTCTGATAAAATAGGCGTAGGACTAGGCCACCACCTAAGTAACTACTTACAACAAAGGGTAGTCAACTATTGCTATCCAGGAGCTACTTTTAGTCAAATTATTACACTGTTAAGTGGTTGCAACTTTGATAAATATACAACAGTGATTCTTATAATAGGTGATAGTAATAACATTAGTAAAAAAGAAGTAAATAGTAGCATTGACGTGTTCTTGAGAATTCATGAGAAGTGTGGGTGTAAATTCATACTAAGTGCATTCCCTTACTGCTCTAACCTAGGCATCGCTCGTAATAAGTATATATATAACATAAATTCGCACATTCATAATTTGACTAGACGTCACAGTGAAGTTATATTTTGTTTTGACATTAATAAGTTCGTAAGGAACTTCATACTTTTTGAGGATAATTTACTTTTACCCATAAGGTATCTGAGACATGTAGCTAGTTTGCTATCTTTTAATATTAAGGACGCTGTTATAGAAGATATAACACAGTCCCACGACAATGCTCCTACTTTAAGCAGCAACAGTATACTTATTACTAACCATAATTTAAACTGAAATACACGACAACAGAAAAGTCTAATCGTTTCCATGTAGTACATCAAAATATTCAAGGCTTTTCTGGCAAAACATTAGAAATAAGTCTTTTTGTGCACGATATTTCCGTTGACGTGTTTTGTGTTACAGAACACTGGCTGAAAGACTACAAAGCAATTAACAACATAGAAAATTATGTAATAGTCAGTTCGTTCATAAGAAAGAGCTTTAGCCGAGGTGAATCCATGACTATTATTAAACGTAACTTAAAATATAAAGAGCGTAAGGGTATCACAGATCTTTCTACTGAACGAACTATTCAGATTTCATGTGTGGAATTGTCGTCATATGTGTATACAGGCCCCCTCTGCTAATTTTAACGAGTTTGAATTAATTATGGAAGATAGTTTAAAGCGGATTTTTCCAACCAAAAAAAAACCTAGTAATTTGTGTAGATTTCAATGTAAACCTGTTGGAAAACTGTTCTACTTCTGTAAGACTCATTAATTTATTTAAAAGTTTTAACTTGATAAATCTTTTCTTAGAACCAACTCGCATCACTGCCTCCTCTTATACTTGTATTGATAACATCTTTTGTAACGATCTGCGTTACAAAAGCAGTGTCTAAATCAATAATAAATTGCTTAAGATCAGACTAAAGCGGCCAAACGGCTTCTTTTAATTGTAAAATGAGCAAGAAGGTATACCAATTACTCTGCAGACCGATTACCACAGAACGCATCATTAGATTTCAAAATAATATCCGGCAATAGTTTAAATTCCCTACCCCATATGTCGGAGGTTCAAATACTTTATATAGCACGATATTTGGTTTAATTAAAAATGAATTTGATAATGTATTTAAATCGAAAACATTAACTTTCCATAGAGAGACTAAATTAAAAAATAAACGACTGGGCAACAGTAGGTATTCATAAGAGTATGTCTCGTTTTTATGAGCTATATGCTATGAAAACTTATAATACTAATTCCAATTTCATTAAATATGTTTGAAATTATTCAAAAATTTTTTTAAAAGTATCTGTAGCTGCTAAGGTTAAGTTTCACAGCGACAAATTTAGACAATCGATAAATAAATCTAAAACTACTTGGAGCATAATAAATGAAGAGTCAGGCAGGGTTAAACAACACGATAGAGATATAGTTTTAGAATTAGACAGCAAACTTATAAAATCTAAAGACAAGATAGCCCAAGCTTTTGAATCGTTCTTTTCGGAAACTGCTGTGAACACTATAGAATCATTAAATTCCTCCCCTTCTCTTGCTATTGATCTCCTAAAGGAAAATGTTAACGTTTGTGGCAGTTTATTTAATTTCCGTCATGTTAATCCACAAGACATCATAAAAGCTTTTAATCAACAGATGTTAAAAAAACTGAAGATCTCTGGGGTATATCAACTAAAGTTGTATACTCAGTTATTGATCTGGGGAAATTAGATCTGGAGACATTTAGCTGTAGCTTTCAATAGGTGCGTTGACGAAGGTGTTTTTCCCGATTTAATGAAATACAGCAAGGTTATTCCCTTATTCAAAAGCGGTAGGAAAGTTGATTCTAGCAACTATAGGCCCATTTCAATTTTACCAGCTTTAAGTAAAATATTCGAAAAGGTTATGCTGACTCAATTACTGTCCTATTTCGGTAGGAACGTAAAGGAAAAATCATATTACAAAATTGAAGACTACGTGTTAGATAAAGATGTATGGAAAGACGACACGGCTCCAGAATCCACACAAATTTGATTCAAAGTGTATTCCATAGCGTTTAAGTTTATTTGAAAAGAGCAATCCCTAGAGTTTCTTGCTCGTTCTTCTCAGGGAGGTCAGCGTAGTGAACGAGCAGTAGCTTAAATGTGACGTTTTCAAGTGTAAATTTATTTTACCTATGGAATAAATAATCTTTGACTTTGACTTTGACTTTGAGTCCTAAAGGTAGACGATAAGCGACTGCATTGCGACTGCATCGCGTTTGCATCGCTGCTAAAAGTCACCGTGTGTAATCGCTCTAATTGTTTTTCTTGACTACTTAGTACTAAATGGTCAAGTCGTGTATAAAATAAATATTTGTAGTTATTTTATATACACTTGGAGAGGAAAGTAATTTGCTCAATTTGTACCAATCTTGCCCATTTAATAGTAACTAGTCTTAATCTATCTCCACAAGTAAATCGCCTGGGTGTAATAAGGTCACATCTGCAAAATGACAACTTTTCAGAAGAGAGGTTTAAAGATTTAGTAGCAGTAGATCTCCTTGTGAAAGATTTGGTCCAGGGAAGTTCCACCACCTTACCTATTTCTGCCGCCAAGCAGTAATATGAGCATTACGGGTGACGGGCGCAGTGCAGTGCCCCTGAGATCTTTGTTGCTTGAAGCTCTGTGTGACACTGCAACTGTTACGAACAGGCGTGTTACTTAACACCAGGCGCACGACTTGTTCGTCCTGTCACTTGATGTTAAAAAAAGATTATACTAACAAAATTAGGCTATAACTTTTCTTTGTTTCACGTAGTTCGTATTATTGTTGCTTTATTACACCAGGGCTACAAAATAATAAAATTTAAGAATTTGTGAAAATTACTTATATCGGGTGAAAATTAATGATGTTTTATGTACAGCGCTTGTAAATGGATTTATGAGTTGGTCCGTGTTCGTTCCACTGAGTCGACTCTCTTATGGGCTCTACCTGACTCACACAGCTGTAATACTACGCAATGTGTATGCTGCGCGAGCACCATCAAGGCAGGATCTTTTTACAATGGTCAGTGTAATATTTGTGCAAAGAAAGATAGAAAGAAAGAAAGAAATATATAAAGAAAGAAAGAAAGAAAATAAATTTATTCCGCACAAACACATATTACAAGTACAATATGATTTTATGCTTAACACCTTCCCTCGGACCCTTTTCGAAGCGGCCGATTTAAAAGTAAAATTTACAAATAAAATTAAAAAGAAAATAAAAAAATGTGGACACGCATTAAAATAGGTACAACATATAAATAACTCAATTTTATCAGAAAAATAAAATTGTTATATGCCTACAGCGTTTTCAATTAGTTCACTATGTCTTTATGTATGTCATGTTTCTCTATGCGTTATACAAATAAAATTTCTCCAGGCGTATTTTGCAGTATTAAAATGTGCTCTCTGAGTTTATTTTTGAAAGTATAAACGGATTGTGAAGAACGCACGCAGTATATCGTTCCAAATTTTCGCCGCGGAGTATTTGAAACTGCCTGTTTAAAGCTTTTCTCGCATAGAAATCTCACGCTTTATGTCGCTTTAGCGCAAGTCGCGCTCTATCGTGCTAGCCCTGCTGTTTTAAAATTCAATTTTGGTGTTAATTAAGTTAGGAAATGAAACTATTTTTCCGGATTTAAATCTGGAAAAATAGTTTCATTTCCTATGTGTAACAATCGCGAAAACCTAAGAACTCGATATGTTAATTAAGTTGTTTTAAAATGGAGTTTTAAAACAGTCATTGGAACCTAAAATATGTTCCCCTAACAAATCTACGAAATGTCGTTTACGTCCTTTTCACAAAACACCGACAACATTATTTTGGACATTTCACTAATGTTCCTTTAAATGTGCTTGTGTATAATCTTAAATAAAATATGTATACTTTTTATAAAAAAAACAACGGACCTCAAAAGTTTGTGGAAAAAACAATTTACATTTACTTGCCAAGTTTTATTGACATTACTTAATGGAAACTGGGTGAAATCTAATAAACCAGATTCATCCCCTAAATTGCCAGTCTACCAGTGGAACATTCAAAATGGGACTAATACTGAGGTATCCTCTCTCCAACAAAAGAGAATCATCGAAATCGGTTTACAAAATTGCTAGAGTCATCGCGTAACATACACACAAAAAAATACATTTGAGTTGAGAACCTCATCTTCTTTAAAAGTCGGTTAAAAAACAAGTCTAGGCTAGAACTGTGTGTTCTGGAAACCGCCGCAGGCTGTATGAAGCCTTCTCAACAGTTACCTTTGGACGTACATCAATTATGCATGTGCAATTCTTCATCGCAGTAACACAAAGTCCAAGGCTACAACCATTAACCTACTTACTACGAGTATGTTGGTTCTTCGTAGCGTTTTATTACTACTTTTATTACAGTTTACTAACTCCCTTGGCGTAGCCGCATTCTCATATATGCTCAGTCTTCTGATGTGGCTGCTTATTCAGGCGCCAGTCTCCGGTATTTTAAATGCTGTTATGAGTTCCAGGTAAGTTTTTTGCTTTATTTGTTTATTTAGACTTTATAGTCGAACGTTGAAACTCACCCACACGATTTTAGTCTGTGTTAATCCGTACTTTGAACTACATACGCGCACACACGTGGCGCGCCGTATCGCGCGGTTTGTGTTGAGACAAAGGCCGGTATACACGAGGCTAGTTTTTCAAGAAAGGATAACAAGCTAGTGCTAGTAAGCAAGCAAGCCAGTAACTCTGGCTTCGTATATACAGGAAATTAGCTTCATTTCTGGGCTAGTAGCTAGCGTCTCAAGCTGGGATAGTTTAATAGGATGGGGTCCTATTTTAGCGACCACTGATTTTACTATCCTGGTTCATGTAGTTGCTTCGCCTGGCCGGCGAGGCTACACTAGTGTCCGATCCGTTAGAGTGCAACAACGACACGTTTTGTTTTCCCGGCCACTGACCACGTTTCTGACACAATTAACATGCCAAAATTGACTGAGTACCGAAATTAATTTAAAATGTACTACCTACACAATTGTACTACGAAGAGGAATATCCGTGGAACGCCATTATTCCATCGTACAAAGATAAATCTTTGCGTGATTCAGCATTACGATAAATATGTGGTAATTATCAACAATCGGTGTAGAAGTAACAGTTTCATTCGAATTGTGTTTGTTTTACAACAGTTCTTCTTTACTCTCCACAGACGTGTTGTTACCTTAGTCACTCCTATGATGCTGGCTTAAAATTTCCTGGCATCATGTTAACCATTGTAGCATGTAGGACAGTAAGCCGGGATAAGATGGATATTTAGCTAGGTATCTTAGCTTTGAAAATCTAGCTTCGTATTATTAGTATCCCGGGCATTAATACTAGGGCTTTCGTTTTGAGTTTTCCTTGTCTGAAAAATATTGTGAATTTCACAAATATTTTGGCATTTTCTAGACTCGGCTACTAATGTTTTCATTCTTTGAGATTTAAATTAATTAAACGTATTAAAAATCGACTAAATTCCGGTTATATGGCATGGCAATGCAGAGGAGCTAAATATACCTACGACTGAAAATCGATGGTTATGAAATCAGTCAAAAACTGTTGTTTCCTACGTGCTGGCTACAAAAATGAAAACTTTCTTAAACAATTTTTTATTTTATAGTTTGAATTAATAAAGAACTTGATTAAAATATCATGTTTTGACTGTCTAAATGCCTAGCCTGTAAGTATGAAAATCTATTTAAGAAATACTTAGTGTCGAAAGTCAAATTTTTGCCGAGACATTCAAAAACGCATCGCGTCTCAGTTTTTTTACCCGGACAGGAAAATGAGGCGAGGCTGAAAAGCCCTATAAGTACGTATCTTCCATTGTTCTATTATATGAAGTATATGAAGTACCTACATATATAAATCCGTGGGTGTCACAGTATGAGCGGAACGAGCGGTCTAGATTTATAAAATCATATTACGAAATGTTACGGAGTAAATGGCAAGGCGTTGGAACTTGTCTCGTCATATCTTAACGGCAGAATTCAAAAAGTATACATAAATGGAGTGACTTCTTTGGGTTCTCCGGTAAAAATGTGTGTTCCGCAGGGCTCAATACTTGGACCTTTCTTATTTCTCTTTCATATGAATGATCTACCATACTTTGGCAAAAACTTTTGCAAAATAGTATTGTTTGCTGACACATCCTTGATTTTTAAAACAGACAGACATGACGTTAACAATGACAATCCCAACTAGCACACAATAAACTCTAATAACAAGCCATACAATAGCCAGTCAGAAGTTCTTAATAACGGCATGGGCTGCATTAATAAGTTCTACAGAAGACGTATAAGCGGCTACAGCGCCGCTGAACCCCGAAAATGGGCACCGATTTATACGCTAGGTATGGGTCCTACAATGGTCGTAAATGTGTGTTAGCACGAAGATACAAAGGAGAGAGAAAGAAGATGCGCGCGGGTAATGTGCGCCTAAGTAATACAAGGAGCTTTGCGAGCGGTAATGTGCGCCTAAGTATCTAAAATAAGTTCTATAGTAGCGGACTATAGCGCTCGCATCCTATTTAGGCGCGACTTTATCTCTGAATTAAAGTTTACGGCGCTGTTTTAGATATACAGCATCGATATTTTGGGGAAATAAACAAAACACTTTTTATTGCCAATAAAGACCGTGACCTTGCTAATTGGAAAGTGATTGATGATGCGATTGCAAATAAAAAATAACAACACTTTGATAATATAAGTTTTCCGTCTAATACTTGCTAAATGAAAGTGCGAGTAGGTACCAGTTTATTGTAAATATATACATATATTTTATCGAGTTCTTAGGTTTTCGCGATTGTTACACATAGGAAATGAAACTATTTTTCCGGATTTAAATCGCGTATATATATTTTTTTTTTCAAACAAACCGACGTTTCGGGCCCTTTACAGGTCCCATGGTTACGGTTGACTGAGGTGGTACAGTCTTCAACCAGTTATGTCTAATATTGATGCAAACCACCCTATTTTTTCCACCATAGTTACAATAGTTATTAATTAAATACCTTATTTTTAATAGTCTAATTATGTAACTAGACTAGTTTACTTTAGTTACTTCCATAATACGGAAGTAACTAAACTTAACTAAGTTACTTCCATAATATGTCCTACGGGATTCTCATGTGGGGCAGGTAAAGCGACAGTTATACGTATACAAACGAAAAAAACAAAAAGATATACAAACCATTTGTGTTGCAAAAACGAGCGATTAATTCTGTGTACCGTATAGGTTACCGGGTACCGGATTTCTCTCAGAGAAAAGTTTAAGGAGACTGGTATCATGCTGAACACGTCGATCATAATCATCGGCATCACAGTCTATTTACTCAAATATTTTGTATGAGCGTAAAAATACACATAATTTCATTAAGAAAGAAGATATCCATAATATTAACCTTAGAACTAAGTCCAAACTCATGGTAC